ACAAATTGCAGCTATTGTCTTGAGCACCCACAGAGGCAGTTGTCTTTTTTTTTTTTTAATTAAAAAAACTAATGCAACAACAATGAAGACAAAATCAAAACAACACAAAAACAACAAAAAACTATACATGACCTCAAAACAAAGTGATGGGAATTAACAATGGTTGCTATATTACATACTGTTAAATTCAACAAAGTTGCTCAGTCCACCAGACATAAGAATGTAGCATTGATTAAACAATCAAAGACAGTAACAAGTAATAATAATAATAAAAAAAAAAACATTGGAAATGATTCAGAGCTTCACCATACAAGATGGTGGGAGTTCAACAATGGTTCTTATACTGCATATTGTTGTTTGTGTTTAGCTGCCACACTATGGGACAAATAAATAAATACACAAACAAGAATGTCTCTTAGCACAGAGAGCTTCTCCAGCCACCACTGATCTCAGGACCTGAGACCACCTCAGACAGTAATGACCACTTCTCCTCACACCCATAACCACTTCTTGTGAGTGGGATACCTTGGGCATCTCACAAAATTTCCTCTTGAAGTCAAGTGTGTGCAGCTGAATTTACACTCATACAATTGCACACCCCAAGGGCTTCCTCTTGCCTCTAGGCAGGATGATATATCACATATCCCAGACAGTGGGAACACTTGAAACAGGAACATTTCACTGCTAAGAAGTACTTTCATGCTTGGGCTCCTCAAGAGAAGTAGCCCTGTGCAAGCGTGGGGATCACACCTACCTTATCCGTAAGAAATTTTGCCTTGTTTCTCTGGTGTCTGGCAAGGTACTGGTCGTATAACTGGGCCAGCTTGGCTGCCAAAACGTGCTCTCGGCTAAAACAGGGGTGATGAGTGAAGATTAAACCTGAAATATCTATGTCCAGTTGGAAATTTCCAGGAGGGTCTCCAGATCCAATCATATGCTGAGTCCTGTGCACGTACTTCACGGCCTGCCAAAGGAAGCAGACAGCGGCTGGAACACAGAGGAAGCACTTACTAGATAGATAATGGTGTTCTAATCCTTAGAGGGGGAGCAGCTGGTTACGAAATACCTCCGGGCCTGTCAAGTAGGGTGGGCGCCCCATTACCTGGTTAGGGGCCTGTTCTTTTTTGAATGCTTGGAAAGCGACTGAAAGAGTGGGACTGAAAAAGGAAACCATTCCGAGTTTGCTTTCCTGTCTTTTCATCTTCATTACCCTCTCAAGTCAAAGTTCTGAGCTTTTTCATACACACTATCCTGTTTCTGGAACTCTTGGGTTATGTAGTTGGTGACCCTGAAATTTTTTAAATGTGAGAAGCATAGATTCTAGTCCCAAATGGTCATTAGTTGGGTCATAGATATGTATCTGAATTTTTAACACATGTGGGGATGTTTTTGTTCTGTAGACAGCAGCAAGAGACTTTTCTGTAATGGCCCCTAATCCTGGCACCCTGTTTTCCCAGGGGGAAGGGAAGGTATTAGAACAGGGAAGATGGGTGGGGAAGCAGCTCAGTCCAGTGTGAAGAAAATGGGAATGGAAATTTCCAACGGGAATTTCTTGGATTGTTTGGCATATAATGAATCTGATAAGTCTCTCCATTTTCCTTTCCTAAAATCTTTAAGATATTCTTCATCAGTCATCACTTCTTACTTTGTGAAGCTCAAAGATGAAGGGGAGCTATGTGGTGGCTTGAGATATATCACTCAATTCTCTTCTGCAAAGATAAGCTTTGGAAACTACTAATGTTATCTGGAAAATGATAACATAAGATGATGCGGCAAAATGTGTTATTCAAAAATTATGAAGTTACATGGAAGTCCTAAAGCCTCCAGTTGGAATTTACTTATGTTTTCATCTTTCCTCAGTTATGGGTAACATGTTCAATAATCTCTTCATTTAATTATCCTGCTTTGGAACAGGTAAGATGCTAGACCGAGACCAGCAGCCGTGGGTTCTAGCCATGGCTCCATCTTGAACTTGCTCTAGGACCTGGGCTAGCTCAGCCAGTGTCTCTGAGCCTCTATGTCTTCATCCCTAGAAAAGGGACATTGATAAAAAATCCAATTCACATTCTGTAGATCACCAGGCATAACATCAAGCACTTCAACACATCATCTCATTTATTTAACAAAGATAAATGGGTGCCTCAGTGTGGCGGGGCCCATCCTCAAATAGCAATCAATTTAGAGAGGAGAAGATCCTTAGATCTGAAGGGATAATGCCTGGGGTGTACAGAAGGATGCATGGAAATCCAAAAGGGAGCATTCCTGCATTACAACCTCATAAGATTCTAATGTTATTCTCTACTAGACTGAGAACAGAAAGGGGAAGATCTACATTGTGTGTGTTTACACACAAATATGCAGTGGATGTAGTGCAATCTGATTTCTAGTTACTATCAGACATGAAAACAGCTACCAATATTTGCACTTATTGTAAAGCATCTTCACTTGAGTAAACTCATAACCACACTGTGTTGCTGCCTGCCCTGCACCAACTACTCACAAGAAAGAATATAGGAGTTTATTTCATTTTAGACACTAAATTTCCTAGATCTTTTCCCTAGATTAGCCAACTATTAGTATGTATCTAGGATTTCTCATTTCTGATAGGACTGTAATACATTGAGTCCTACATTTATATTAATGGAATATCATCTTTTTTCATAAAAATAACACTATCCTTGATGAAAATTCCTAGTTTTCTTTAAATTTTAAAAATTGACCCTATAAAACTGATATGTTCACAAATACTGTAGACTTGAGTAGGACTGGATGAACTCCACCTCAGTACCTTCCAAAATGTACTCTGTTCCCCAAATTGGATTCCCACATATGCATTGGTCCATGTTCCATTCAGTGGAGGTGATCTGTACCTTCAGCTCAGGTAATAAAATATGAAAAACTTCCAGGATGCCTGAAAGTCCTTCACCACAGTGCTCAAAAGACTCCAAATTTCTTCCTTTCAGAGAGCAAGACCCTGAGTTCCTCATCTTTTTGTTGCGTTTCTCCTCCACTTTTATGTCTTGAGACCCAAGAAGAAGGTAGAAGCAACAGTTTCTCCCGAGCACTTCCGGGTGATAAGGTAGAGGAAAGACTACCCCTGTGCATCTCCCTCCTCCAGTCACTTGGATCTTACAGAAGCCCAGTGTGGCCATTCAGAGGTGAGTTCTAAACATACTCACTCTTGATGCTGCAATCATGGAGACCCATTTTTCTTCTCTTTTATTCAGGTAGAAGGGTAATCAGAACGCAATTATAACCTGCCTCAGTGTTAGAAGTCTTTAATCACCATGCGGCTACTGTGTGTCTTACAGTCACCCAGATAACCTGGATTAATTAAAAATTTCCATTTTACAAAGGCATACAGCTAATCATCACTTCACACACAGAATGGAAAATTCCTCTGCAGTTGCTTTGTGCCTGCTAATTCTTGCCTTTGCTTCCCTCTTTTTAAGAGGGTTCCCTCAGGGTGTGCTAGGCAGGTTCTGTCTTGTATTCTTCTTGGGGTGAGTAAGCAAGGTTTCTAGAACGACTCTATTTATTTGCTATGTGTACCTCTCAAAAAATTTTTAAAAAGAAAACTCATTGCATGGAACATTGGAAAAACAGATTTGGGCACCAGATAGACCCAAAGAAATATAGGAAAAGGTTAAAGTAATAAATAAATGAAAAGACTGCAGTGTACAAGTCAATGATAAACTTAATAGGTAGCGCGCTATGAGAAACAAAGACATAGGCCTCACAGCTCCTCCGTGGAATGGAAAGTCCTCTGTTTTCTAACACACGAGCTTTCAATCCTAGGACTGTGCCCTTGTCTACTTCGAGGCCATGTGACAACCTCTTTTGCTGTAGCTGTTCTCTGTCTCTGCTTCCCTATTTTTGCCCCTAAGCTAGGAAGCTCTACTCTCTCAAGAGCCCTGGGAGGAAGCAGCTCTTTTAGGTCCTACATAGGTGTGAGGTCACGTTGTGTTTGTCTCTCTGTGACTGCCTTACTTCACTTCACATAAGGTTTTCCAGGTTCTTCCACACTGTCTCAAATGGCAGGACCATGTTCCATTTTACGGCCAAGTAGTATTCCATTGCTATATTTGGGGCTTTGAATATTCCCCAAGGTACATGTGCTGAAGGTCTCCACAGCCTGTGGCACTGTTAGAGGTGGTGGAGGCTTTGGTTGGTGGGGCCTGGTGGAAGAAAGCAGGTCATGGGGGTGCCCTGCAAGGAGACACTGGGACATTAGACCTTCCTTTTTCTTTGCTTTCTGGTTGCCATGAGTCAAGCAGCTTCCTCAGTTTCCACTCCTGTCACCATGTGCCACTGCACTGCAGCCCAAAAGCAACAGGGCCTTCTGACCTTGAATGGAAACCTCCCAAAATAAGCTCTCCTCTCTTTATATTCACTATCTCAGGTATTGTGTTATAGTAGTGGAAAGCTGGCTGATAAATCCACTCTGCATTGATGCCACATTTTCTTTACCTGTGCATCCATGGATGGCCAATGAGGTTTTTGCTGTTGAGACTGGTGCTGGGTGTTAGTGGGGAGATGGGGACAGAGACCCATTTGTCAGAGAATATACAAGCACAGTCAGATAGGAGGAACATACGTGAGGAGATTACTGCATGGCATGGTGACTAAGGTTAATGATGATACGTTATATTCTTGGAAAGTGTAATGAGTGGATATCACATGCTATCATCATAAAAATGGTGACTGTGAGGTAATGTTGTTATTAATTTGCTGGATTTAACCATTCTACAAAGTCTATAGACTTTAAGACATCACACTGTATGTGATGAAAGCATACAGTGCTGTCTGTGGGTTAAAGAGAAACATACTGGAAGGACAAAGTGCCCTTTTCTCCCCATCATCTCATCCCACTGGTGGCTTCCCAAGGGAACAGGAAGAATGGGTCTGATCGGAGTCACCCGGAGCCCCTGGTCCTGGCCCAAGCTCTGTGCCCAGCAAGTGGTAGCCCCTGACTGTCTATTTGCCAGAGCCCCATGTGGTCTTTGGCACTGCAGGTGGTAAACACAGCAGGGCAGGTCTACTGGCTCAGCCTCTGTCTGGATGGGGAATGTAATTCATGGGCAACGCAGTGGGAAACCACTGCCCTTGGGCCCAAGGGGCAGTCTGCACTTCTCCTTAGTGCAACTGAAAGTCTGAATTTTCTGACTCCAGTGTATTTCCAACTTCTCCTAGAAGTGAGCCTAGAACTTCTAAAGGAGAGGAGACAGATGAGATTAATCAGCCCCCTCCTACTCTACCTTCCATGTTAATTGCTCTCCTGTTTGCTCATTTCAGCCCACAGTTCAGTGCTTCAGTATATCAGTGGTCATGTTGAGACGGATGGATGGGTGGGTGGACAAAGGGAGAGACTGATGGATTATTTTATACATGCATACGTTCACACTGTCTTGATCACTAACTATACCATGTACCATTTGAATGAAACCAAGTGGATGATAAATCCTTCACAGGCTAAAGCCTCATAGTTATGTCTGTTTCTTCACTACTTCCAGCATCACCTTTTTTGCATGAAGTAGCTGTTCATAATAATTGTCTGCAGTAATATTTTACAGAAATTGACACTTCAATGAGGGGGCACACTCATATATCATTCCCACACTCTCAGTGATCCAGTGAGGTAGAGAAGGTCATGACTTTTCCTACTTTTCAATAAAGGAAACAGGATGCGAGAGGCAGAGGGACCTGCCTGAAGCCACATCCTAGTAGCAGGACATCAGGACTCTGCTGGACTCTGACAACAGCCTAGGTCTGGTCTGCTCATAATCTCACTTTTGTGGGATGACCAGCTACAAACTGTGAGCTCAACAAACTGTAAGCTAAAATAAACCTTTCCTTCTTTAATTTGTGGGCATTGGGTATTTTGTCCCAGGACCAAGAAAGTAGCTAAGACCCCTCCAGAACACTGAGCTAAATAAGCCTCTGTAGGGGCTGGGGATTTAGCTCAGCGGCACAGCGCCTGCCTGGCAAGCGCAAAGTCGTGAGTTCAATTCCCAGTACCGGAAACAAAACAAAACAAAAAAAGCCTTTTTTCTATGTGAAGTACCAAGCTTTCAGTGTTTTGCTAGAGCAACAGAAAACAAATACACATGTATTATCTCATTCACTCTGCAGGGCAGACACTGCCACTATGTCTGTACTGCAGATAAGATACTGAGCACGGAGAGGAGGAGGACCAGTTTCACCCTATGAGTTGGGGGTGGGGGGAGGTGGTCTCAAATTGAACAGTTAGGACAGACCTCAGGCAATGGCTGGCTTAGAAATCTATTGTTATAGGCAGCTGAGTTAGATAGAAATATTAGAATTATTATAGGCAGTCAGACAGGGACAGGCCCTCACAGGAGCCAGTGCAAAAGACCTTGCAACTGTGGGGGAGACAGATACCTCCAGCTGTGGACAAAAGATTAAACAGATGTGCCCACATACTTCCATAGGGATGGACCTCAGGGACTGATATTCTAAATTGGTGTGGATCACCTTGAGAAAGCCAGGAAGAAAAAAAAAAAAGAGAGAGAAAACCAGGAAGAGTCACCGACCCAACCCTCTACAGGAAAAGCCCCTGTTCTGTGTTCATGCCCCCTTGCGATGTGACTCGCTTCCCCATTTGATTCCAATTTAATCAGCTTTACCTAAACAACTATACTTGTAATCTTATTGGCTGACCACAGTTTTGTTCCACCTCATGCCCACCTAGCGAGTTCCCCTGTTTCCCACCTTGGACCCGCCTCACCTCCTGGCTTTGCTCTATAAAAGTACCTAGAAGAGACAGGGTCCTTCCCAACCCACCCGGGCCCCCTTCTGTCCCTCTCTCAGACAGAAGCTTTCTTTCCCTCAATAAATATATTCCGCTCTTAACCTCCGTTATTCCTAAAATTCATCCTTTGATTTTTAGAGAACACAAACTCGTCCCAGATATCTTTCAGGTTGGGAGGTTTTTTTCCCTGTATCACGATTGCTTGCGAAACAGAGACTAGGTGAACAGAGTCAGACTCTCTTCCGCAATAGGCCTGCTGTCACGTGTAAGACAGTGATTTATCAAAAGAGAAGAATCAAAGTAGAATTCTACAAAGGCAGCACCCCGAGCTATCTGCTAAGCAAGGTGTTTTCGGGCCTATGGATTAACAACAGGGTGAAGCGAGGGTGTGCGCGTGCGCGTACCTTTTTATACAGCGTCTCCAGTCCTGCCATGGCACGGGGCTCCTGGGCCAGTGGCGGTGGCCGGGAGGGAAAGGGTTTGATGGGGCTGGGCAGAGCCAGGATTCTGCCATCGTCACCGAACCACTTCCTCCCCTGCAGATCGAACAGGGGGGGGGAGAAGCATATCTTCTATTTGACGTAAAATGGTTTACAAAGCAAACAAAACATTGGTAGGAAAATTCTGTGTCGAAGGACATATGTCATGTACCTCCTCCTGCCCCACAGAACTTTAAATGTCTCGGTTTCCCCTGGAAAGGGAGTGTTCACCAACACCCGCCCCCACAGTTAAATAAGGACATCACTCCTGACCACCCCGCAAAAAAGTTTAAGAAAAAGCTTAAATGAATACTTATGGAATTTTTTATACTCTATTCATTAAAGATAGAAGGGGAAATAATCAGAGGAGAAAAGCTTGAACCAGAGAAGAGTGTTATTTATGCAGACTTTAAAAATTAGACTGGCCTGGTGGTGGCACAAGCCAGTAATCCCAGCAGTCAGGAGGCTGAGGCATGAGGATCCCCACAAGTCCAAGGACAGCCTGGGCTGCCTAGCGCAAGGCCAGCTTGAACTACATAGTGAGACCCTGTCTCCGGACAATAACAAGGACCAAACATTCTATGAATGGGAAAGAGTTCCAACATCTGATTTAGCCGAAGCCAAGAAGCAATGAGCAGAAGATGGGGTTTGAGCAGCGTGGCTTGAGGATCACGAAATGTACTGAGAAACAAAGTAAAAACAAACACGAAGCCACTTCTCGCGGACAAGCCTAAGAGCAGATGGATGCAGGGGCGCGGCGAGCGGGCAGCACTCACGTGCTCCTGCCGCAGCAGCCGGTTCTCAGCGATGTTCTGGCTGGCACGCGCCACCTCCGGCCTCGCCCCGGTGTACAGGCCCTCGTCCTCCAGGAATCTGGGCTGCACGTTCTCGGGAAGCTTCTTGTAGGTCGGCACTGCACGGTTCACAGACAAATACCGTGAACACGCGCGCCGAACTCCACGTTTCCCACTGCCGTTTGCGGAATTCCATCAACCCCCTTTGTGTCCATGGAAACCGCAAGCTCCCTAAAGGAATTCTCGAAGCAGGAGCATAGAGATGAACGCGTCCCTTTGCATTGTCGTGCATTTGCATTTGCAGAATCAGGCATGGGAGAGAGAACACCGAAATAATACAGGCCCTAACTAAACAGGGCGGCGGGGGGCTGGGGATTTAGCTCAGCGGCAAAGCGCCTGCCTGGCAAGCGTAAGGTCGTGAGTTCGGTTCCCCGTACCGGAGAAAAACCAAAACCAAAAACCAAAAAAAAAACAAACAATAAACAGGGCGGCGCACAGAGCAGAGAGGCCGCGCAGAGCTGAGCGTCGTCGTCCCGCAGGTCTGCAGCCCCAGCACTCGGGAGGCTGAGGCAGGAAGATTAGTGTGAGTTGGAGGCCAGCCTGGGCTACATAGTGAGTTCAAGGCCAGCCTGGACTACATAGTGAGACCCTGTCTCAAAAAACCAACCAAACCTGGGGGTGGGGAAGAGAATAGGCATGTGATATTCAAATCAAAGGCCTGCGGTGCAGACTTGGTTCCTCTTTAGCTGAGCCAATTTGGGTCACACACTCCTTAGACCTCTTTCCTCTGTACAACAGAGATAATAGTTTCTATTCATTGGGTTCCTGGGAAAACTGCATGAGGTAATGGATGAGCAATTGTTCTGTAAATTAAAAACTTGGAGAGCTGGGGGATGTAGCTCGGTGGTAGAGTGCTAGCCTAGCATGCCGGAGACCGTGCATTCCAACCCCAGCACTGCAAAAAAAATTTTTTTTCACTGATTAGATGTGACCATTACCTCATTTATTTTTTCAATCTCTTTTTTATTCATGGGACAAATTTCACAGACACTCCCAGGCCTGAGTGCTCATGAGCTCTGGGATCAGGCCCAGGCCACCGCTGTCCAGTCCTACTTAGATCCCAGAGGGAGTGACCCGCAGCTACAAGAATTTTTTTTTTTAGTATATGTGCCGCTGAAGCAAGCACTTGTTTTTGATTTTTGAGACAGGGTCTCACTATGCTCACTATGTAGTCCAGGTTGGTCTTGAACTCACTATGTAACCCACGCTGGCCTCAAACTGGGGGAGATCCTCCTGCCTCAGCCTGTTGAGTGCTAGGATGACAGATGCACCACCATGCCCACCCAACAAGAAATGAAGGTCCGTACAGGATCATGTCAGAGGGTGACGTGCGCCATGAAGAAAACCTTCAGGTGGTAACAACTTGGGTGTGGAGAGCTGCAGGTCGCAGACAGGCTTTTCTCAGGAGCCAGGTGTGTACAGAGGGAGGAGCCAGTGATAGGCACTAAACCAAGTTCATCGGGGAAGAGCACACAGTCCTGTGTCTGGACCAGCCTGGGACCGCTTGTGTGAAATCTTCCCAGATGATGAAAATGCAGCTGAAAGTTTCCTGTTGCGTAGCAATGCTGTGCCCACCCTGTGCTAGATCTGCCTCCAGCATCAGTCCCGAGCTCAGGCTGCTCTGGGGGGGGGGTCTCAGGCACACCAGGTGGCCTGGGGTGCACGGCTGTACTGTCTGGGTTTGCACAAGCACACTCAGCCGTGTCCCTGTGATGACAGAAGCACCCAGGGGACGTTTCTCAGAATGCATCCCTGTCTTTATGCAGGGCAGGACAGCGCGAAGGACTGTGTGTGCTGCCAGGGGCAGAACCTCTCAGAACACTTCGGTGTGGTGTGCAAGCAGGAGAGAGCTCCAGACTGCCCTGGGGGGCGCGGAGGGGGTGTGGGCTCTGGGCTGGGGACATCTGTGAGTCTCACAATGCACCGGCCACTGCGGCAGAGCGGCTCAGAGAGACAGCGGGGCGGCCGGGAGAGGAGGCCCTGTGCAGGTCCAGCTGTGTGTTGGGCTACCCCGCTCCCAGCCGCACAGCAGCAGAGCACGCTGACGGGGCTGTGTGGCCATGTGGCTGCACCATTCCCCATGCTCGCCACCAAGCAGGGTCACACCTGTGTCTGGAACTCCTCTCTGGCCCTCACAGACCTGGGGCCAGCTACAGCTTTCCCCTCCAACCACAAAGCCAGGCCTCAGCTCATCACCACCCCGAGGGCTCCACAGTTTCTCATGGAAACGTTTAATTGCTCCCTCAGTGTGTGTGTATCTATTACACAAAATTAAACCAAGAAAGCATAAGGCTACAGGTAAGTACAAGCAGATGTCTCAACATGATCTTTCTGTGCCCTAGGGTGAGCACAGGCTCCTCTGGAAGTCGCCTCTCCCAACAGGAGTGACAGCACAGCACGGAGCGATGGTGTTTGGCCACCTACACACAGGAAAAGGCTGTCCATTCACATCATGTCCTCAGCTCACCACATAAACGATGGGTAAGTGTGTTTGAAATGCCGTGGAGTATTTCGGGGGGGGGGATTAGTGACAATGTGTCTTTTACTGCAGTAAATATATTTTTAAGAAAGTAAATATTCACTGTGCTTTTTGATCACACCTCATAGAGCAGGCACATTTCATCTGAAGGAAAATGAAAGTGTTTAAGCTGAGCAGAGAAATGAAAAGAACAAGTACCTGCTTGCCTACTGGGGATAAAGAGCATTTCCTTTTCCTTTTCCAGCCAGGTGTGGATGCTTTCGTATTCTGCGGGTTGGACTGCCACAAAATCATCAGCTGCAGCATCCAAACCCAACAGGAAGTCCTTGGCTTCCTTACCACTGAGCAGCTCTTCTTCATCCTGCATGATGTTAAAAAGAGTCTTAGTTTATTAGGAAAATAATTATGCCTTCCAAACTCATCAAACTTAACAAGTTTTACAACAAAACTGAATTCTTTTTTTTTTTTAAGAAAAAAATGAAAGCGTGGAACTATATAGCATTTCATATACAACAAGTGGGTTCTGTCATTGGTTTTCCACTATTCAGTAAACTTGGAAGATGTCAAAAGCAGAGAGGGCTGAATCAGCGAAGTGGTAAGGAAAGGAATTAGAATCCTAACCAATGTAAAGAACTTTGGCTCTGGTTATGTAGCAATGAACCTCTCATGTGGCATTGACCCCAGAGCAAAGGCAGCAGGAACCGCTGCTGGGTGTGATCAGCAGAACAGCTTTGCTTCAGGGGACTTGAGGGAACTTACTTAACCTCTGATTCTCAGTTTTCTTCCCTGGACCATGGGGATACTAGTAGACCTCTTAGGTCTTGGTAAGGATAAAACCAAATTATGCACACAAAGATCTAAGCACAGGGTGTGAAATATATGAAGTATAGGAATTTCTTTCAGTATCTTCCAAATTTTTCTCCATCGCCGCCTCCTCCTTTTCCTTTTCTTTCTTCCCCCTTTTCCTTTTATCTTTCTTTAAACATTTGAGCCTGGTTTCCAGGTTTGAGCAGTATCTGAAGACCATGGGGGCAGCCTAGCTACCTGCCTCCTAATATTTCCTCCCTAAATGTGCAAAACAATAAGAAGGGAGAAGTCAGTCTCCATGGAAACCATGCTTCCAGCATAACCTCAAAGCCAAGAATATCCCAAACATCAGAAAATGAAAAAAGTCACCAGTGGCATGCATCATCTGTCTTACTCCTGCCTCACTCTGCTTTGTGGAGGACAAAAGCAAACTGAGAAGAGAAGACAGAAAAAATAAGCCAGGGAAGGGGCCTCCAGGTTCTCTAACACCATCCAGAATGTCCAAACCCCTCTGAGCACGACAATACTTAGAAAATGTCCAGGCAGACCAGAGTAGGGCTGCACACAGCTTCCCAGGAAGTAAAAGACAAAGCAAGGAAGAAGTAGCTATGATTTCAGAAGATGCCTGGAAATGGAAACCTTGGCATTCACAAGGCGGAGCCTGATTCTCCTCCCTTTCAGAGTGCACTGACTTTTGCAACTTACAAGGAGAAGAATATGGCGGAAGTGATGGCACTGACTTCTGAGACTAGGTCCTAAAAGGTGCTGCGGCCTCTCCCTTGATTTCTCTCTCAGATCACTTGCCTTGGGGGAAGCTAGCTGCCCTCTCCTGAGAACACTCAAGCCGTGCCCCGGGTCGTCCCCTTGGCAGATGCATCAACTTGGAAGGAAACTCTCCATTCCCAGCCAGGCTTCTAGATGCCTGTGGTCTTGGCTGTCTTGTCTACAGCATCATGAGAGATCCTGAGCCAGAACAAGCTGATTTGTAAAGCAATGACTATAGAATAAGCTGAAATATTCCCACACTTCCCTAGACCTCAGTAAGAAAATACATTCCTGGGAGGCATTTTTTAAGAGAAGAGATTAGTGGTTAAGCCCAGAAATATGCCAACAATGCAACCATTGAAATATTCTGCTGTGTTTTCTCTCTTTATTTTTAATATTGTAAAATATACGCAATGTAACATTTATTACTTAACCATTCCTAAGTGCCCATAGTTCACTAACATTAAGATGCATCTTCAGAATTTTTCATCTTCCCAGACTGAAACTCTATGCCCATTGACACCAATTTCCAATTCCTTCCTCCCCTAGATCCTGGCAACCATCACTGACTTCCTCTCTGTATGATTTTGGTTGCTCTAGGTACCTTATATAAATGAAATCACACAATATTTGTCCTTCTGTAAATGTCACTTAGCATAATGTCTTCAAGGCGTCCTCTCGGAGGCTGAATAATAATGACTCACAGCCCACGTTTTATTTATCTGCTAAGAAACACAAGGGGTTGCTTCTACCTTTGAGCTATTGTGAATATTGCTGCCATGAGCCCTGGTCCACAAATACCTATTCAAGTCTGTGTTGTCAATTTTGAGGGGAAGCGTTATCTTCAGACTAGAATTGTGGGGTGATACGGCAATTTGGCTTATTTATTTATTTATTCTTTTCTGTTTAAATTTTGAAGAACTGTCTTATTGCTTATAACAGCAGCTGCACAAGTTCACAGGCCTACCAGCCATGTAGAAAAATCCATTTTCTCCACATCCTCTCCAACCCTTATTTCCTGTTTTATAATAGCCACTCTAATGGTGTGAAGTAGCATCTCATTACGGTTTTAATTTGCATTTCCCTAATGACTAAGGATGGTGAGCATCTTTGATGTGCTTGTTGGTCACTGGGAATCCTTTGTGGAGAAATGTGTGTTCCAGAACATTCTCCAGGGTGGCAGGGCATGGCTCAGTGGGAGTGCACTTGGCTAGCATGCACAAGGCCCTGGGTTCCATCCCCAGCATCACAGAATCAAAACAAACAAAAAACTTTGCCCAGCGGTATTTCATTAGTGTGTGCAATTTTTCTGTTTTTAGGTATCCATTAAAAACTGAATTTTTTTTTTTTTTTAAAAAAGGAGAAAGATCTTTGCCCGTTTCTTGAGGATGCATTTTCTTTTTAATCTTATGCATCACTCACAATTGCGGAATCCGAGCTGTAGCTTGGGTGTGATATTGGGCACAGAAATTCTCTCTCTTGTAAGATCGTGAGAATGGGGGAGGTTTTCTTTGCCTTGGAGAGAACAACACTGTGTAGGTGAAATGAATGCTAATCATTTGGGGAGAACGGCAGGAAAAAAAATCTGTAAACTGTGTTATTTCATTTTTTTTTCCCTACAAGAGAAAGGCAGGCAGATTTAATCAAAGACCCCACTGCAAATTGCGGGGTGTAATCAAGAGCTACAGAAAGCCAACAGAGGCTGATTCTTCACTAAGCAGCAATCCCACCGCTCTCATCTAGGCCAAGGGCGAGGTGTGGGGCGCCCCGGGGGCAGGTTTTCTCACCCTCCAGGAGAGGTGATGACCCTCACCCATTTCCCGTGGTGCCCCTGCTCATCACTATGACACTAAGTACCGTTTTGTTCACGCCTCCTGCGGGTGATTCTTCTTCCTCCCCTTCATCCTCCTCCTGATTGGTTCCATCTCTGTCTTTTGCTTTTGCTTTTTCCGTGGGTTTTTCTGGCTCAGGATCGAAGTTGAAGGTGAAGAAGTTATAGGCCTCTTCTGCAGAAGGGAAGCCAGGTGGGGCCTAAGGAGAACGAGCAGCTTTAGGTTATTTAAATCACATGAGCTCTGCACAAGCCCAGCATGCTCGTGCACGCCTGTAATCCCAGCACTGTGGGAGGCTGAGGCAGGCGGATGGCAAATTTGAGCCCAGCTTGGCCAATTTGGTGAAGGGCTGGGGATGTAGCTTAGTGCAAAGGCCCTGAGTTTAAGCCCCAGCATCACACATACACACTCAACAGCAACAACAACAAACAACAGAAAAGTTCACACAATTGTTATCTTTGTTGAAGGTTAACTCAGTTATGTACTGGTAATGAATTTTAACAAATCTCATAGGCATTTGGAAGCCAGTTTAAATAAGCAAATGTAGTTACTTTCTTTTGTAAAAACTGACAATTATTTACATTCTAGTAAGCATGTAAATATAATATTTACATGAGTAAAAACTTCAAAAAATGTTATTAACATATCAAAAAGCAAATTCATTGTTCTATAGGCCCATATTCAGACAGTTTTATTTAATTATGAAAAATGTAAGATTCGTTAACCTTCTTTTTAAAAAATGATCTTTTCTTGCCTTTAGCTCTTTGGATTGAAATCTTCTTTAAACTCTTCTTGGGTCAGCGCACGCCCTCCTTTCTCCCCATGATGAAAGCTGGTACACTTTCAGAGCAGAACTGTTTCATCCCTATATCTCCAGCGCCTCCCCCATGCCCCCACATTCCTCAAACAAGATGCTACTCCGGCCTCTCCAGCTGGATTCTAATACAGGATGGCTGAAATTAGGACTCTTTTCTCATTCTTTTTTCTTTTCTTGTTTTTTTCCCGGTACCCGAAATTGAACTCATGACCTTGAGCTTGCCAGGCAGGTGCTTTGCCCCTGAGCTAAATCCCCAGCCCCTCTTTTTTCTTTTATGTTCCATGACAATATAATCAGGTACATAGGTGGTCATCTGTTAATAGACGTTTATGAAAAGCACAAACAAAAAACTATGGTTTTAAAAGACAGGGTATGGTGGTGGTGCGTGCTTATAATTCTACTACTTGGGAGAGCTACATACTGAGTTCAAGGCCAGCCTGAACTATACAATGTGACTCAGTCTCAAGAGAAAAAAAAGACAGGATTCTCACCTGGGGTTTAGACTTGATTTTTCGTGCAGCATCACGGAACTTTGCTCTTGAATAACTTTGGGAATCATCTTCGTGTGGAGCTGCTTGTATCTCTTTACTTGGCTGTATGAGTGGAAAAATGACAGGTAAACCACGTAAGGTAAGAAATAAGGGTGTTGCAAATCTAGGGTTAGCCCTCTGAAGACTTGTCTTCTGACTGTGGATGCATCTTCTCATTGCGAGGCATGAAATGCTTACAAACGTCAAGTACATCTGAAGGTTAACGTTGCTGAATATTTTCTTAACACCGTCTCTCTCAAGATTAAGCAAGTGAAAATTTTCACACTTAATAAAGAGTTATTTCATTCCATAGATCAATAGATTATCCATTTCACAGAAGATCATTTCCAAACAGTCTACAGAGCATAGATATTTGGGTGTAAATAAGTCCAACAAATCCCTCAGCAGGGCACACATTCTGTTCTTATTGCATCTCTGGTCTGCTGTCCACATTGGTTTGCTGAGCCTTTTGCCCATACAGCTTGAGCATCCCTTGTCTGAAATGCTTGGGGCCAGGACTGTGTCTGATTTTGGATTTTTTTCTGACTTTGGAATATTTGCATATTTGGAATATTTGCATGTATCTTGGCGATAGGACCCATGTCTAAACACAAGATTCAAAATCCTATACGTCTTACACACACAGCCTGAAGATAATGTACCTGTGTTTTGACAGTGACTCATGATACAAGTTCAAGCATGAAGTTTCCACTTGCCATGTCATATCTATAGTCAAGACATTCTGGATTTTGGTGCCTTTCAGATTTCAGATTTATGGGTTAGGGATGCCCAGTCTTTACCGGCTTGATGTGAGAATTCTTTTATGGGTATTCTCCTTTTTCCTTTTAATACTAATCCACAAAGTACTGGTTCCATCTTCCCATCCATTTCTCTTTCCAATCAAAACCTTTTAAAACCTAACTTCTGTACTGCTTCTTTTCCACCCCCTCTACAATCCAAATGCCATACCTTCCTTTTGAGCAATTCTAAGCTGTTCCAGTAGTATATTCAAAATACACGACAGCCTTGGACTGCAAATAACTTGTTCTCTGAGTGTTCTGCAAGAGGAGTAAACACTGCTAATGGATTTTCACTTGGGAAATGAGTACTACCTTGCGATATGAGTGTAGGTGACTATATTTCACCTGACTGCAGCCGAACCATTGGTTCTTCTCTCTTGCTTGCTGTAGGATTGTGTGCAATGTTGCATTTTTGAGAAATCTTCAAAAGGTGGCCAAGGTAACTGTCATTGGATACGTTCCTTGTTAAAGTTGCGCGAAAAGAAAAGGATTTCATTGAGCCACTAGGTAGCAGTGATTCACAAGTGATAGTGAAAGTCTCCTACACAAAAATCTTCCTCTCTCTTGTCTCTGTCACACCAGCCACAAAGGTTTTTAAAGATAAGCGCAGGTTAATTCCAAGTACCCTTCAGTAAAGATTTGGCTCCTTATACAGGTGTACTTATACAAAAAGACTGGCATTGCCAGGTGTGGTGGCGCACGCCTGTAATCCCAACACTTGGGAGGCTGAGGCAGGAGGATTGGTGCAAGTTCGAGACCAGCCTGGCATACAATGTGAGCTCAAGTCCAGCCTTAACTGCATAGCGAGACCCTGTCTCAAAAAGACAGAAAAAAAAAAAAAAAAAAAAGGAATAAGGAATATCCAGCTACTAAGCTTTGTTATCTTCTTGGTAGAAGCTAACTTTATATTATCTGGATCTCTACTACAAAAGGTCTTCAAAATAGGGGCCAGTAAGTCTACAAAACAGGGGCGAGATTCAAGTTCTGAGTCCCTATAGTAAAAAATTTTAATGGCCCAATGGTCAACATAGATATATTTGCTTAGTATATTCTTTTAACATTGTTATAATAAAAAATAAGAAAATATTAATGTCTTAGACAAAACAAGTAAAAGTCTACATGCTCCTAAACTCTACTTGCTGTATTAAGGTTAACATCTCTGGACAAATTGAGGTTAATGTTGAAAATAAAAGGCTGCTTAGTTTTGTCTGATTTTTACAACTTTTTGAGCTACTACTGGTAGCTCAATGTCCTACTTTTAATGTTTATCCCCTGCTTATTTAACATGATTATAAAATGAAGCTTAAGCATCAATGACTTGCTAATGTTCTCGTGTCTTTTGTAGACAAAAAAAAAATGATGGTCATCATTTTTTTGATGCAAAACCCATCTTCTTTTGTGACCTTTAGATCCATCAGGATGAGATTTTCGATCCCTGGTTAGGCAGCATTTATGCCTCTCCTCTGCCTGAAGCAGTTAGAAGAAGGTGGACCCTTGGCCCTTCTACAACTTTTAAGAAAAAAGAATTGGGCTGGGGATTTAGCTCAGTGGCAAAGCGCCTACCTGGCAAGCGCAAGGTCGTGAGTTTGGTTCCTGATACTGGATAAAAACCAAAAAAAAAACCAAAAAACCCCAAAAAGAATCAAAGTATTGAAGGGTGGGAGTGGGAATAAGGTAGGGCGGAAGAAATAAAGATAGAAAAGAGACAAGGAAAATCCTAACTGAAAAGCTACTTTTAAAAAGACTGCAATTCCAGGGCACAGTCAAACTTACCCAAGGTTATCCATATTAGTATTCCTTAGGTTTGTTTATACTTCTTTTTTTAAATTTTAAAGAAAAAAGATAAAAATCACAATGAAACAATTTCAAAGTTGGTTAGTAGGAGAGTTACAATAATTATTCATTTTTTTTAACTGAAATTTCCAGTTATACATTTATTCCTGTCTATATTCATTTTGATCTCTTACTTTCTATTTTATACTGGCCTTTTTTTCTGAATAAAGGCTACAAGTACATTTTTTGAATACGGTAAGATATGCTTATACCAGTTAGCCCCAGTGAATGAAAAAAACGTTACAGAATTAAGAATAATGTTGATATTATTTTACCAATCCTCTTCTAGTTTCAGGAAAACTACTTCCCTAATGCAGTAATTCTATCTAGTAAGTTTTTTCTATTTCTAAACAGAATCAGAAAAAAAAGTGAGATCACAGGAAATCTACAGTTTACTAGACATTGTGTGCTTTTCCTAGTTTGTCACTGGTATTACTTGAAAATCCAGAGTAAATTAATAGGCTAGCACTTCCAAATGTGTGCTTTAATAAGTATAAAGCATATAAACAATTAGGTAAGCTTGTGGAGGAGCTGACAAAGACACATAAATTAGAAGATCAAGGTATCCATCTAAATTTTCTATATTTCTTTTTTTTTGCAGACTGTTTATTAAGGTTATTTAATATACAGCTTTTCATATGTAATTTTGGAAGTCCTTCATTATAAAGATAATTCTTCTGTCTGATGACAAACAGCAGCCACAGTGATTACTCTGGACCTCCATGTTGGATAAACTCCATTTCCTCTTGAGATATTAGTTTCCTTCTATACTTCTGAGGTAGCGTTTTTGTTATTTCTGCAGTATCTGCTGGATGTGGATGCATCAGCAACTCCGGTGATTTACACCCCTTAGAATGCTGTGACACTACAGAAGAGCGAGAGGGATCCCTGCTGATCTCAAAGCTTCTGATACACTGGGTTTAGGATTGTCTCTTCTGTCAGGGCACCTTATTAATGGTGTGTGTGGCTTGATTGCCTGGATGATCTGGCTGGCAGACGCCATCTTGTTGCCGAGTTACAATAATTAATACATTGAATATTGTTGCCTTCATAGTGGTTATTCAGAGTACAAGATATAGGCATGAATCTTGTCCAAACAAGATATTAGCACAAACTTTTCTTTTCAATGAACTAAGAGAAACTAGCTGTATAACTATCTTAATTATCTTGTGTATACTCATTTTTATTTTTCCCTTTTCCCTTTCCCCATCACAGTTTGTCTTTTCTTTTGAACAATTTCTTCCCAGTTCACAATATCCATTGTACATTTTGGATCTTATGTGTTCATTCAGTTGCTCAAACTAGTGAGACAATATGGTGTTTGCACATACGGGTCTGATTTATTTCACTTACAAGTATGGTCTCAAGTTGCATCCATTTACCTATATATACTTCTTGTAAAGCTAGAGTAGGACATGACTCTCTCAGTACCCACCCTGCCTGCCAGCAGAGGCACTGTTCTCGGCTCAGAACCAGGGGGCTGCCCTCAGCAAACACAGGATGTCTTAAAAGAGATAAGATGATTTTCCTACTAATCTATCCATAACTGTGTAAAGTTTGTAATGTTCCTATCCTATTTCATAATGTATGTTTATTATTATGTGTTTCCTACAACAACCATTGAGAATAG